TGCCTTTGGCTACTGTAGGGATGGAGCACAGCAAGGAGGAGACAAACTCCTCTTTTCAGAGAGGATCAAAGACCAAAAACCCCAGCTCTCCAGACATGCTTACAGCCTCATCACAATGTACTAGACACAATGCTGGAGTAAAATTTAGCAATAAAATGGACACTCAGCAACAGGTACAGGGTAAGATCTGACCTGCTGAAAATATAGCAGATTAATGGAGATAAAGAAATCAATGGGACAGAGGTGAATAGAAAGAACAAGAAAAGTTGAGGTATCCCAGCAGTTGCCTTTTCATAAAACATTATTCTGGTTACATCTTATGTTTAATCAGAAGTACCTGGGTGCTTTGGCTTCCTGTGAAGAGCTCTCCTATGCTGCAGCTGAAAAACACTTGTAATCCCAGACATTCACCTTTTCTGTAGAACTGTACCCTACAGATGTATCAGTTGCTGTGAATATTAGTGGAAAACTATGAAACCCCACTTCAATGCATCTACTGGAGGAAGCATTTGTAAAAGGATTTATTCCACATGGGAGAAATCTTATCTGACCTAGTTTCCTATTGTTTGTTACCTCCTGGCTGTCTCATCTGAGGTTCCACCTGCTGTTTCTCCATCTGCCAGTCTTTTTTATATCAGAGGAACCTTCTGTTATAAATGAGAATTTATTCAGCCAGATTAAAAATAAGGAAAAAAATAATTTTATTAGCGGTCAAATTCTACCTAGCCAGCCACGGAAAAAGACAGATCCGAGCCCGGGAATCAGCCCTGGGTGTGCCACAAGGAGTCAGCCTCAGGAGAGGTTTCCCCTATGCCCACACACCTCCATCCTGGCACAGGCGGTTTTTATAGGGAAAATTCCGCCTGAGGCCAAGACTTCAGCAATCAGTCTTTTCTTCTATTCAGAGTCCATAGGTTAGTAAGATTTTCTTTTTTGGTGATGAGGAGAAATAATTCAATGTCCAGAGTAGATGAATTCCTGATGAGATTTTACGGGAAGGCTGCATTCACATGGATCTGTCTGAAGATTTCCATGATATCCATCTCGGGCCATTCATGCGATGATCAGCACCGATGATCAACACCTGGAGTCCCGATGGTCAGCACCTGGAGTCCGGACATGGCCCATCTCCTGGCCGAGCCACATCCTTTTACTTGTAAATCAGTTTCCACTATACACCCAGTCTCGCCTGCAAGGGTGGGTGGGGGGGGGGAACTAATACAAGGGACATAATCTAACAAGTATCCAATATTACATATTTTATACAAGGAATGGTGAGAATTATATTTACTACACATAACACTTCCAAGTTACATGTTAAATGTCAGGCAGGCTGGAGAAAAGTTGTTTATATCTGCATTTAATCAGATGATATTTCCATTAAAGGTGCTTCACGGAGACACTAAAAGCTAAGATGTCATCTGCATTTGGTTATTACAAGTCACAGGCAGGCCTGCTTGTGTGAAAACTCATGCTATTATTTCAGAACTTCATACATCCAAACAGAATGACCATACCCTGTGAAGTTCATTATTAGTGTCTTTTTTAGTAGTATTGAAAGCCTCAAGCTAGGGGCCGAAAAATTACCAGATAATTTAGTTAAAAGTCACTGGAAACCAAAACCACTAACAGGGAAGCACCTGTTTTCTCCCACTTACCTCCTAAGCTATTTCAGAGCAGAACACAAAGAGTTAGTTTGGATTAATGTTTGGATTAACTCTTTAGTTACTTTAAAGAGTAATTAAGGCTGCAATACTTAAGGGCAACCACCCCATTCAAACCCAGCACTTGAGGTATATTTTGCCAGCATATAAAACCAAGCTATGCTGAAAAAGCCTGGTAAGGACTAAACTGTGGGATTATCAAGATATCTATCTCTGCTTTTCTGCTACTTTTGCTATTAACAGATACTTTGCAAAAACCTTTACTTTCAGCAAGTTAGGGATCAAGGAGCATCACCGCCATCACCTATCATCTGCCTGACAAAAAAAAGTACAGCATAGCCAGTGCCTCAGGAAACTCTAGAACCAAGCATTTCAGCAGTTATTTCCTCTGAAAAAAACATGCAGAAGAAACGAAGTGGAAACTCACCATGTCAGTACAGACTGCCACACAATTTGTACAAAAAGATCAAATGTATACTGGAGCTGTAGCTGTCCTAACACACCTATGTGAAGCCAATAGGAATATTTTCACAGATTTCAGTGAACTTTGGATCAAATCTTAGGAGCAATTAAGTAGTCCTATTTTGTAGATTAAGATTATATGAATAAGTGTAGGCAGACATTCTGTACCTGTCTTTCATTGTGCTCCTGGAATTAGCTCAGCCTTTAAATGGACAGCTGTAGATCTTCCAGTCTCCCAGTTCTTGTAGGAGGTGGTCTCAACTTAGAGTTTGCTGCAGCTGTTTGACCCACTGTCCATGTCTGATTCTTCCACATGAGCATCCCTGGGCCTAGACTGTCCATGCTATGAAAAGCAGGATGAATAAAATTTGTGCTTCCTGTAGAGATACAGGCACATTACTTTTCTTTAAGTTTATGACTTTGAAATTTACCTTAACTTGCCTTCAAATGTCTTGAAGGAATGAAGGAAAGTATTTGGTGGGGAGAGGAAACACTTGAAATTCATTATGTGAAAGTCATGTAACACAAGTATTAACAGTATGATTTACAGTAATAAAAACATTATTACAATGTGTTTAATTAGGAACCATTACAAGACCAATTATAGTTGTCAAAATAGAACAAAAACGCAACATGTGTTTTTCCCCTGGAGGAGTAGGATATGGTGAGGCTCAGTATTAACTCTTAATTAGACAAAAGATTGCTTTTGCTTTGAGTTAAAATCCAAGCGCTTAGAAAAAAAGAGCTCTGAGTTATATTTCCCTTTGGCAGACATTGTTTAAAAAATTTTTTAGCACACCAGCAGAAGCATTTTTTAATACATAGAGTAAACACTTTAAAAAAATTGAATTCAATATAATCTATTTAGTTGAGCTTTAGCACCCAACATTTGCAACCTGCATGCCAATATCCATCTCACTACAAAAAGTAAGACACAATGACACTTGGTTTACCTGGAAAGGATGTCAGGCAGCCCTTAAAGGAATCTAATTTAAATGAAGCTTGTTATCAGAGCAGTGCATCACACTGTGTTGCCATAGTAACCAGGGTCCCATGAACTTTTGGGGCCATCTGAGGGCATGTTTGCAAGAGGAACAGAAGAACAAAACTGATCACCTTTGGTACATTGTAAATGACCTAAAAACTCTGAATGATTTGCTGATATTACCAATTAAAGAAATCTATTAACTCTTACATGTTCAGACAAGGGACCAGTCTCAAAAAAAACCTCATTATTGTTCTTTATGATCTAACATTTCCCACAGCTTACTTAAGAAAGCACTACTTACTTGCAGCATGTGAGCAACCAGTTTCAATTGATTCCCTGGCTAAGAAACAAAAGAGAAATCAAGACCTGGGTTGTGAAAGTGAAGATGAGCAACAGAAACACATATTCTGTTTAGACTGCTATTTCCAGTGCTATTTTCTGAAGTACCAGGCACAAGACTCAGCTCAATTGCTTTTGGTGGATCATTCCCTGCTGCCATATTGTGGGGGGAAATCACACTATAGCACTGAAGTTTTCTTTCCAAGTCCTTCTCCTATAAGAGAAATATTCTTCAACAACATTAACATATATATAAAAGCAATATCTTACACTGTATCCCATCCTGATAAAATTTTCTAAGCATGCAATAGATTTGTAACTGAGGTATTCATTTTTCACAGTAAACATGTCCAGGTCAAGAAAATCTTTTGACATGTCACCTGTGAAAGAGACTTCAACTCACCTGTTGGTGGGTTGCTACAGATTACCATGAAAGGTTTCTGAAAATAAAAAAATCACAGGAATTTAGATTCTGTTAAGCAATTAAACTATTGATGAAAATATCTGAAAGTTGTCTGAAATGATCAAGGGGCTTTTTCATTGCTTTGAAGAAAAATAAAAAGAGCTTGATAGCAATTCTTCTGTAATAAAGTCCTGAGAAATATGGGTTGGGACTGGGGGATGACATGGGAAACTGAAGCACTGGTATTCTAAGCACCATGAAATCAGCATGTTCATGTGACTTTGGCTCACAGTACTACATCATCAGCCCCCACTGTCCACAGATGGAATGGACACATAGTTCCAAAGATCTATTTCATCTTGGGCATGACAGTATCAGAAAGGTTGCAGAAATCCAGAAAAGAGATCAGTTCACAAACAAGTTGAGTTCGTCCTTCTTGGGTCTGTCTTTTTGAGCATACCAGTAACATGCATTATGTGGTTGTGCCTAAGTTTCCCCACTTTCAAAACCAGACAATGATATTTACTTGTTACCCAGAACACTGAAAGGGGTAGCTGCAAGTCAACTTCAAAACGCTACTCAAGACTAGAGAACCTTAACACAAAACCACTTCAGGTTAGAGCTAACTCTTGATCCAAAATAACAAATAATAAAACACAATAGAAATAAAACTATCTCGCATTTAAATCTTTATACTGTATGGAAAAATATCCAGGCAGCATATGTCTAAAAATAGATAGTAGACTGGACTTTGGCAAAATAGGACTTTATACAAGACAAATTCATTGCAACTAAGCCATCACTGTATAACCCAGTACTTTAACAACCTTGGAACAGTAATTCTTCAAAGGGCCTCATGATTTCCTGATCATCTGCTGCAGCCCTTTATTCATGGCTTCATTCCCTTTCAGGCTGCCCTTACAACAGCAAGTTTATTAGCCTACAAACAAACCTACCTGTCAGCAAAGCTGCACCAGCTACAGTAGCAGCCCTGATTTTCTCATTCTTCTTGATTTTTGTACAGGGCTTACATTTTCTGATTTTGCTTCTCCAGTTCCTTCAAAAGAAGCAACACAGCTTGAATGCTTCAACAGGGACTTTTGGAAGGGAAAGGTGGTGTTAGAAATCATCACTAATTTAGAAATTAATTTTTAATGGTTACGTTTTATTTGCTTCAGTTGAACACCATTATTTACAGACACAAGTTAATAAAACACATCACAAAACAATTAAAGTTCAACAGCTAATATTTATAGGTGCATAGTTCATGCTCAATTACTTTTTTTATATGTATAATACATACACATATATATAAAGCTCTCACAATAAGTAATCTCTGCACAGAAAGAATAGTCATAGGAAACAAAAACTGTATCAAACAATATCAAATTACTGGCAGCCTATCAACAAAACATGTACAGAATTAGAAATAAGCAGTAGACACTTAGGTGTTTTTTACTTAATATTTTCTTTTTTAACTTTTGAACTTGAAGCCACAATATCCACAGCACAACAATGACCCTGCCAACCAGCTTTCATTTCAGCAGGAGGGAAATGCTGAAACAAGGTGGATGCAGTCACAGATAATCCAATCATTGCTGATGGAAGACTTCAAAATACACTGTAAAAACTGTAAAAAAAATGAACAACTGGGCACATTGGAACTCGGCACTCGTACAGGATGGGATGTCTTTAGTAGTAGATTTCAGGTGATAGAAAGGAAGGCAAGGACTCTCATGCTTCAGGTTCATAGTCTTGATACTCTTCCTATTGAGGGAAAGCAGAAATCAACACTACTGTTATTTTATGTAAAGACATCCTATTTTCACTATTTATTCTACTCTTGGTGGATTCAATGCCCAAATATTATGGATTCTCATGTGACCAGTATATGAAATGTATTTGTATTTTGCCATATTTTCCAGATTCTGTACCTTACAAGTCATGGTACTTAGAGGAGAATTAGGCTTTTACAGTGATTAACACATCATTCAGCTGATGCTGCTAGGAACTCCTGAGGCCACCCATGACAATTCACTTGGAAAGGAAGGAATACTGCTACTGGGCTGAACAGCACAGCAGGTACTGCAGATTCTCATACGAGTCAGTAAATAATTAAAAGGAATGTTTAACTATGGCCACATGAGCAGCATCCATAATTTCAGTGATATTCAAGATGTTATGCTCAAGCTTTTAAGTCTTTTATTGGATCATGGCCTAAATTTTTTATACTTCTCATTTTCAGTCCTATTATCTGTGTTACCATAAAACTCTTAGTCCAACTAACAGTGCATCATGCCAGACATTGTAGATAGCTTGTTCATATAAACCAACAAAATAATTTACTCCCATAATTGCATTAATTAAAGATCATGCTTCACAAAGCATGGTGCACTGGTGAGTGGCCAAGCTATTAAAACCATCTATGAAGATGCAGGTTGTCCTGCATTCCCTATTAAACATACAAAAAAAGGATTCATCAAAAGCCAGGCACAAGTGCTTTGAAACACTGAAAATAAATTCCCATTTAACTTCCTTACCATCAAAAAGCAAATAATTTTCTGATTTCCAACACTATATCTCTGGCAGACCCTGGCCAAAGAGACCATGTTTCTGCTGTGCCCTTGCAGCTCCCAGCACCAGCCTGGGCCAGGCTCATGTAACTCAAGCATGCAGCCTCCTCCTGTGCCCTTCTCTTACATGCACTCACAGCAAACACCACAACAGATTTACCTCTGGAGGCATTTTGTAAGCCTCGTTCTCAGGACCCACAGCAACACCTGTATTATTCACCATTCCCTCCTGCAGGAAACCTTCTTCATTCTACATTAAAAGAGGGAAAGAAAAGTGACAGTGACTGCTTGCTTCATTTCCACCGAAGTGAGAGTTTCCTCCCAATCAGTGGTTGACTTCTTGGCCTGTCCTTTGGTTGTGGGATGTTGCCAGGGGTCATGGAGAGCAAGGCAACATGAGTTGCAGAGAGATCTTCCCCATGTTTCCAGGGGTATCCATGGGAATGGCAACTATCATCTTTTTGAATAGCTGGGACCTCATTTTTTCCCTTACCATGGACAGGCCAAGAAGTCAATCTGAATAAAAGAACAATACCACCACCAGCTTGCTGAATATCTTTGGAAAATATTTCACTCCCACAGAAATGCTTAGGTCAAGTCACAAAGCAAACCAAATCAAGTGCTTTTTCTGCCTTAAGAAACTGATCTGGGAAACAAAGTCCTGCACAAATGGTTTAAGTATCACATTAAATTATCACATTAATTCATGTTTAACTGCTTTGGGGAACACAGTGATAGGTTTGCAAAAGTGCCTGTAAAAACAAGGTCAATATCAAGACACACAAAGGAAACAGTAATTCAATTATTTATTTTTTCAGTGTTATAGACACATCCACCCTCTCCTAAAACATTAAATTTAAAGTTTTAATCTTTTCACAATACATTGCAAAAAGCGGGAAACATACTGGGTTTATTATTTCTGTTTTAGAACCTAACTGTATTGGAAAATGCTTTTTTTTCTTTTAGTGGATTATACCTTTACACGCTTTCTTATGTCAACCAGCATGTTACTCTATGCACTACTGGTATATGATACATGATATGATACCCTTACCCAGCTTATTCCATTTTTTCTTTATTATAGGAGCATTTCTATTACATAAAGCAATTTTAGTAAGAGACACTTGGAATTAACAAGATGGCTATGGTGTGAGGAATAACATGCAGAATAAGATTACTAAAGGAAGAAGATCATTCTCCTAGAATCACAGATACTCTGTACCATATGAAACAAACACAAAGGAAAAAACCCACAATATTTGAATTGGGCCAATCCTCTTTGTAGTTGTTACTCCAGAAGTTCACAGAGAAGCAACATGAGCCCTGCCAGAGCAGAGGCTGCTGGCGTTCATCCTGAACTATAAGAAAATTGATATGAAAATAGACAGAGTATCTCAATGGATCTATTGTGACTATGCTGACTTATAACAGGTGTCATTAAAACCAATTACAGACACTCAGGAAGGAATTCATTTTAAAAAACCCACCTGCAGATTGGTAGACAGAAATAGAAAATTAAGTACATCATAAGGCAGACTAATGAGATAATTGTTCAAAAATCTACTATCTTATGATAGTGGTACTAAATTAAATTTAGGATAGAGACAAAATGAGGATAAGAGAAGCTAAACCTGAAATCCACCTATGAAAGCTTAACACAAAATAGAATATAAAATGCAAAAGAGGTGGCACTAAACCCTCTAACTTCACACAGCATTTATTGTGCTCCCCCATTTGTCACATATTGGCTCCCTCTGTGGTTCAACCAGGTGACCTTAGTCATAACACTCTGTTCCTCACTTTCTGCACCACCCCAAGCACCAACCATGATTTCATCTGCCAGATACCAACCCTGTTCTTCCACGGATCAGTTACCTTTCTGATGCATATGTAGGCACACATTTTTCATCCTCATCATCCAAGGTTACCATGTGCAGAAATTTATATCCATAATATAGATTCTTCTCTTCAGCTCTTATTTCAGACATCAATAGGTCCAGTATGAAGAGCTATTTGGTCCTATTACTTCTCTATGCTTTTTCCTTTGGAGGTAAGCAGCACAGACTATGTGGAGTCAAACTGCTCTGCCAAGTTCCCTCCATGCATGTGTCTGCTCTGAGTCAACACCCTGAGCTGCTCTATGGCACAGGCAATGTGGACCAATTCCAAAAAGCCAAAGAACACCAATGAATAAAGTTGGAAGCACCTTTATTTAGGTATCTAATAGGCACCTGTGTCTTACAGAACTGCCAAAAATTTGGGGTGTTCAACATGAAAGGTAATTTTTCAGGGTTGAAGTGATGAGAAAAACTAGGTCCAATTACATTTCCACCTCATCTTATTAAAACACTTGAGCTCCCCAGATTACTTGATTTCAATATTTACTTACCTTCTAAACAAAATTTTAATAGCATTTATGCTCGTTTGCTTTTACTAGCTTTGACTGAAATAGCCAAATAAAGTGTGCAATTCAAATTTTACACGTGTGACTGTGCCCTTGATCTAACAGACCAGCTCTAAGGACCTAAAGCTCCTGTCGCATGCTTTCCTGCTTAATCCAAAATATCATTTAATTTCTGCTTCCCCAATTATTAAGGAACAGCTTCAGCTAACAATCAGCTTATCAAGTCAAACTCTGCCCAAATTCAGGCTTGAGGATGCACAAGAAAACATGCATGCAGCTTAATGTTATCTGTAGCAGGAAAACAGATGGCAAGTGAAACTGCTGGGACCATTATTAACGACAAGGAAAAAACACTTCCCAGCTTAATTTCAGATAAGAGCTTCAAAGTTTGTATGCTTGTTTTTTGTAAGGAACTGCTGCAATGGATCTGGACTGTCCCTCAGGATTACTGAGACACAAGGCCTTTTTTAGACTGAATTTATCATCTTTCCAAGTCCCTTCAGCAAGCTCAGGATGCAGATTTCTCTACAGCTTCAAATAAACAATCAGCAGCACTAAAACACATCATCAACCACATTTTTCAAAGGAAGTACAACAAACCTCCAAGGGACCTCCTTGACTGGAAAAGGTTTATCACCTTTGCCCAGCTGCAAACAGCAACACAAACACCCCCTGTCATGTTGATGTCACTGCAGTTCAGATGAGGATGACATTACTCAAGGTCATCTGTTACATAAAAATGCATAGCAAAGGTGACCACCTCATTTTCAATAGTGGCATACTCTGCTTCTGATGTACAGCCCGCCCCCGCCAAAGTAAGGCTATCACAATAGTAAACCACCACCACCAGTAACACAGAGCCACCTAAAGTACATCTTAAATCATATTTTATCTCCTTTAAAATAAAGAAATGCAATTTTATGTTGTCATGATCTGTAACGTCATATCCTTATTCAGTTATGGAAGAGGAAAACTACCCAAAAGACCAATTCTTGTCTTAGTATGAAAGACATTTTTCTCTAGAAGCTGCAACCTCCCTCAACCACAGTGAAGGGCATTTCCAGAGGGAAATATTTTTTTTATTAGACCATCTGAAAAGCTCAACTAAAGCTTCTTAAAGTTGAAGTCAGTTTTTAACTGGGGAGCATGAACTCTTGTTAGAAAAACACTTAAAAGGGGAAATTGCAACTCACCGAATAAACAAGGAATGGTGAGGCGAGGACTACTGCTCATCCCCTATGGATTCCTTTAGGGAGAAATGAATACCCACCAATACATCAGTTTGTAGCATGGTCAGTCTGGCTAAGTCTTGTATATTGACTCCAGAGAGTCTCATGCCCTCAGACCCCACGTTACAGGAAAAATCCTTTTGTGCTATCCCAAGCAGAGTATACTACACTGCCATTCTCAGGCATTAAGAGGAGTGTCACTTTGTGCTCTCAGCACTTCTGCCTGTCTTGCTTGCTAAAGGCATGTGCCTGTGAGATCTGCACAAAGCCCATGTGCTGCCAGGCCACCTGGAAAGGCCACACACACTTTCCCCAGGAATACACGGCCATGTTACACAGTGTATACCCTCTCTTCCATTAGGTTCTGTTATTTCATCAAGCAACTTGTGTCCTTTTATAGACAAAGAGATGATGTCCCATCATTGAGAAGTGACACTTCTGCATGACCCTGGGTGCCAGATCTGACTCCAAGAACAGATATTAAGATAATTAGTATACAAGAGCATGAAGCAGAACTGTTGCGATGGCTTCAAAACATTGATTCCTTCTCTTTTACTATGGGAATGAATCCAGCTAAGCTCTGCACAAAATAGTGGGAAATTACCTACTTTTGCAATAAAATAGTAATCAAACTAATGAAAAACTCCTCCTGAAGACCCGGTCCTGTTAAAATACAGAATATTTGACAAAACCTCAGAACTATTCCTTCTATGTTATGTCAACAAATAGGTTTTTCTTATTTCAGTGGATTTTGGTGAAAAATTGCACCCCATTCTTTCCCTTCACTCTCTTTCCTACCTCATAACACTCTTGGTGGAAGAGAAGAGACTGTTTAAGATCCCATATCTATGAAAAACAGTGGTCAGCTCCTGGTACGCTCCTATGCCAGCACCATGTAGTGAAAGGATCACCTTCAGGAGTCTGCATTCTGTCCTCTTGGTGGTCTAATGCCAAGTTACTGCCACCAGAAAGAAGGTAATGTATCCCAAGTCAGTAATGTATCCCAAGTCAGAGACAAGAGTAACTTCAAAAGGAAGCATTATATTTGTAATTTAGTGGCTGATCTAAGCATTATACTTTGCCATCTCCCAGGTTAGTAATATGTTTTTTCTCTCCATTATGAAAACTGATGAAATCTTACAGTCATGCATAATTCTCATATTACTGGAGACTAATTCCTTCTGGAGTGATTCCACATCCTGAGATAGATAAACCAGGTTACCAAACAGTCTGCTCTTAGAACATTTATACTGGCAAAAGGCAGTCACCTTGGAATCCAGGAACCACAGAGGTCAGAAAAGACCTCCAGAAATTGCCCACTTTGAGCAGGTTGCTCAGGGCCACTCCTGACCAGGTTTTAACCATTCCCACAGACAGAGACTCCAGAACCTCACTGGATAACCTCTTCCAGTGTTCAACTAAATACACCTTTTTTCTACATTTTAGTAGAGTTTCCTGCTTTTAATTTAGTGCCAAGTGCTTTCAGCCACTTCTGGCCAAGAATCTGGTTCAATCTCCTTTACCTCCACCCCCACCAGGTGTTTATACTCATTGATAAATACCTTCCCCCCAACTCATATTCATGTTGTTTCACAGTTGCTGATTTTTTGTCTGTTT